AGTTGTACTCTATAATTAGGTATTTGGAAATGTTGATATTTTGGCTGTACTATCACAAAAAGGGAAATTTCTCTCTTTCTCTATAAAGAAAGCATTGATATCGCTCTCTTCATAGATCGCTAGTTTAAATAAAAAAGGGAACCCCCTTTTAGATTTAATTTTGTGTGTTACTAGATCTTACTTGGTTCATTAAAATTCATTGTGTAGTTTTCTTGGGTTTCATGTAGGTTCTAAAGATTTTTTTCCAACCTTGAAACAGCCAAAATATTTGCTGGGAGAAAAGAATACTTGGCATTTCTTTTGAGCATGATTGTACCTTCACCAAACTTGGGGTTAAGAAAACAATCTTGCTAAATAAAAAAACAGTCAAATTTTTTTTATTTTAATGCAGAAATCAAAAGGATACATTTCAGTTTAGTAAATGCATATCTAAAGTGACCAGATTTAAAAGGTTTTGTGTGAAGTTCAGACTATGATGGTGGAAAAGTATATTCTGGGTTATTTTATCTTCTTAGTTTGTTTTTTTTCTTTAAAATGTTTTTCCTCTTGTAAAACTCTGCTTTCCTTTCAGAAAAGAGTGAGAAAGTCCAACCACATCAGGCAGCTCTGAACGCCCTTCAGAACGAGGCCGTTGGCCGTGTCGATCAACCAGTCACTACTCCGAAAAACGATCTGGTGATTGTTTCCATCATTTTGTTGTTGTTGTTGCCATCTTATTTGTTTTTGATCTTATATAACTTGAAGTAACGCACATATTCATAAATCCTCTTATCTGCAGCCTCAGCGAGTGTCTATCATGAAGAGTCAGCGAAAAGCCGGGGCCACAGCAGGTCTGCTACATTTGCTTACAGCTTTTTAAGTGAATTGCATTCTAGATATTCAAAGAAACATTTACAGATTGTGCCTTGTAGAAATCAGAGGCAAGTTGCAGATAGACGTGTGTTTAGTTAACCAGAGTTCTGGAGAACTTTATATAACATGTAGGTGACTTCATGGGATGGCTCAGGGTCTCCCAACCTGTTGATCAGTAACTTCTAAAAAAAACTACCCAGAAGAGTAGCTGGAACTTGAACTAGCCCCAGTGAAACATGGTTACCTCTAGTAGCGCTCTTTGATGCTGGTTAATCTTGACCAGCTAAAAAGAAATGCAATAATTTTACTCAGCTTTGCGATTGCCTAAAATTGTCCAATCTTTGGACCTTCAAACCATAAAGCAGTGATGAGGTATGAAAGCTTTACATGGCTCAACTCAGTAGGCATCTTGTTCATGTCTTTCACAGGTCCAGCAAGGGTAGTTCAGTTCTCACCAGACCCTCATGCTCTGCGGAGCGTCCTGCAGAACGAAGGCGTTGAGGTCACTGCACCTCTGGGTGCCACACCTAGACTTTCAGTGTGTCCACCTGGCAGAGTGCCCTCCATCTACTCTGTATGTACACAATAAACCTCACTTTGCTCACCTTTTATCTTATAAATCTCATTTTTGTTAATTTTTCTGATTTATGTCTGGAAATGGCTTTACGTAAATATTTTTTGGTGTTGTTTTTAGGCTCAGAGAGTGCCTCTTAAGAAGGGTTGCCCGAACTCAACCAGTCATGCAGTGGGTAAGATTTGTCTTTTAAAATGAACCTTTTATATCAGCCTGAACTTCGTCATCCTGAGGAAATACATTTCTTTACCAAAGAGAGGCAGCATGGGGCAGTGCTGTCAAAAAACCCGTTGAAGGCTGTGAAAGCCTTAACGCTTTTGTCGAGGAGTTCAGGGATCCTTAATATGCAGGCAGAGCTGCACTGGACAAGTTATTATCAAATAAAACTCTTAATGCAATTGAGAATCAAACACAGGACACAACCATTGATATTTAAAGGCTTTGTTAGTCCACTCTGTCTGAGCTTGAGTCATTTTGCTAAGAATAAATGCAGATTATTTCAGTTTGTAGATATGCAAAGCTGGTAGAAACTTACCTCTAATAATATGCAGGTTGTAGGGGAAGTTGGTTTTACCAAGCATTTATTCAGGAGCTCCAACTACAAATGCATGCCATACTTTTTAGATTTGTATTAGCAAAATAACTTCAACATGCCTTTCCACACATATCTTTCACTCGGTCAGATGCTTAAAATGCATTGAGGGCTGTGGTTTTAATGAGGTCCTGATAAGTTACACAGCTGCCATGTCTTTCTCACAGGTCCAGGAAGGGTAGTTCAGTTCTCACCAGACCCTGCTGCTCTGCGAAGCATCCTGCAGAATGAAGGCGTGAAGGTCTCAGCTCCTGTAGGTGCCACACCCAGAATTTCAGCGCGTCCACCTGGCAGAGGGACCTCCATCTACTCTGTAAATGATAAACCTCCCATTGTCCACCTTTAATCCTGTAATTTTGTTACTTTTTCTACTTTGTCTGGAAATGGCTTTTGGTTTGATTTCTGTCTTGTTTTTAGGCTCAGAGAGTGCCTGTTAAAAAGGGTTACCCAGAGTCATCCAGTCGTTCAGTGGGTAAGCTGCGGTATTGTTATCTTCAGCAATGTATGTTTTTTTTTTTTGTTTTTTTTTCTGCTCAGCCTGATGTGATGTGGCTGTTTTCTGTGTGTTTTTCTGCTGAACAGCGGCGCAAAGAGGGGTGGCACAGAAGAAATGCTCTCAACAGATGGTTCACAACATCAAGCATCAGCCCATGTCTGCAACGGTGCGTACACGCCTCACATTTTCAGTCAATTCGGCTCTTCCTTTTGTTTTTTTCCAGCCAGATTTGTCTCCCCTTGCTGTCTCTTTGGTTTTTAAAATTAGCATCATTCACCAAACACCTTTGGGTTGAAAAAGCCAGCTTTAAACACGTCAGGAGGCGGGCTATTCAATCTGATGTATGAAACCTTCCACAGCAGTCAGTTTTAGTAGATGTTGACACATTTAAAACGATAAACTAGGAAGGATAAGCTACTTCTTCTACTAAACTTTCTAGGCTTCAGAAACAAGTCAATGAACTAGATTTGTTTTTAAATGTCCTATAATTGTTTCACCAAAAGTCTCCATTCATTCATTTCAACCTATCTTACCTGAATCCTTTTCACATTTAAGCTTATGGTATTATTTGCATTTTACCTTTTTAAAGGGTGGCATAATTTCATGTAATCACAAACAACCTCAGTAAATCAGTTAAAGGAATGACGTGGTTGAAGAAAAGGGCAGAGTTAGATTTTAATGCATTACTTAACTCTGAACCTATTATGCATGACAACATCAATGAGTGGGGCTCAGTTTGTTAAGCTGTTATTTTTATTTGTGTGTATATGTATGTATATATA